GGTTGGGGTTAGAGGGTGAGGGCGAGGGTCTGACCCCAGGGCCGTGGGAAAGGGGTGGCCCTAGGGCTGCACTAGGATGTGGAGGCTGGAAGTTAGTGGGTGCCGCAGGATGTGGGGGGCATGTGGGGCACGGCCTGGCCGACCACTCTGGCGTGCTCTAGCTGCTCCCTGCATAGCCCCTTCTGATGCAGTGCGCAGGCAGCAGGATGGGGGCAGCTGGAGGGGGCATCACAGCACCCCGGGTTTACAAGGACAGGACGGGAGAGGAGCAGGGACCGAGGGGCGGGCGTCTGGGGCCAAGTGCAACGGCGCAGGGAACAGGTGTCAAACCGGCTTCAAGGCCTGTGGGGCTCCAGCGTCTGCATCCCAGCCCGTCCAGACACCCTCTTCTGTGCCAGGTGTGTTGGCACGGAGAGGCCATGGCCTCATGTTAGTAGCGCCCCCGTCCATGCCCACCGCTCCTGCTCGCCAGGGCCCGGCTGGGAGATGCATTTCCGTGCCTGGCGCAGCAGCATCTGGGCTGCCTGCCAGCCAGGTGACATGCGGGGCGGAGCCGGGGTGGGCAGGAACAGGGGCACGGCGGCCCCTGGAAAGGCTGGGCCTGCTTGTTACATGCTTGCACACGCAGAGGTCACACGGGGGCACACACGCTTCCCATGTCATGTGCCACGCTGGGGCAGCTTGGCTCTTTCCCGTGCCCGGGTGCCAGGAGCACGAGCAGGGCGCGGTGCACACAGACGGTGCCACCCCGGGGCTCACCCGGGCACAGGGAGCTCTGCTCTGAAGCATGAGGCCGGGGGCAGAGGAAGGGGACGCAGTGCCGGGCTCCGCAAACCCTCGTCTGCTCTGCAGCCAGGGGGGACGGAGCATGAAGCGTGGAGCCCCGTGCCAGGCATAGCTCCCACGGCCCGTGCCCGGGCACAGCTCCCGCTGACGCCAGCTGGGGCGTTGTCTGAGCCCAGAGCGATGGCAAACTTGTCACCCAGGTACTGCCTTCGTGCCTGTGCCCGCCTCCCCCGGCCAACACAATAGCTGCAGGACAGTCTGGGCTGGCAAAGCCCGTGTGGACTGGACGCCCGCCCCGGGGAGCTGGGACCGAGCGGGGCAGCCTCAGAGCCCCGGCCGCGGAGAAGAGGCCGTTTGCACCCAGAAGGATCCGCGTGGCGCGGCTGGGTCCCTCCTGCTCCCCCAGGAGACACCCGCCCACCGCCAGCCTGGCGGGTCTGGGCACGAGTCAAAGACAGCGCCTGGCCCGGCTGCTCTGCAGACACCGGGGGCCGACGATGCGCCCGCCCGGGGGCAGGGACCGGCTCCAGCATCTCCCCAGCCCCAGCGCTGCTGGCTGGACCCCAGCTCTGCAGAGAGCCCAACTCAGCCCGGGGCACCTCGGTGGGAGCACCAGGGGTCAGGGCAGCGCCCCCCGTCCAGGCTCGCCGAGATGCACCGACAGCCCCCGGGCGGTGAGCTGCTACCCCCACCAGCATGGGCAGTGCAGCTGGGGCCCAGGCACCCCCGGGACCTGCAAGCTTGACCTGGCACAGACCAGAGCCAGAAGGGCACGGTCTCCTGGCCTGGCACCGGCAGCAGGAGCCCGGGGAGAGCAGGCTGAGAGCAGGAGACGGGCACGGGCAGGCAGGGCGGGGAGTGGAGCAGCGCGTCCCTGGAAGCAGACAGGGCCGGACTTCCCGGGGCGAAGAGGCCGCCTCCACCTCCGGCTGCGGCTGCATCACCACCCCCCGGGCACGGGTTTCCCAGCTGCACCCATGCCTTCCCAAAACAGCAACAGAAAAGGGGAAGCACGGCTCTGGGCAGGAGACAGGAAGAATCCTTCCCTTCCCGCCGCGGCCCACAGCCCCCGGCCCTTGCTGCACGTCCCCAGCACCCGGTGCGGGCACGCTGCGGAGGGGCGGCCAGCTCACCGGACCCGGTCGCAGCGGCTGCGACTGCGGCCGGAGCGATGCCGTAGCAAGGAGCACACGGCTGCCCTCCTCTGCTGCCGGGCGAGGATAGAGCCAGTGCGAGCGGCCTCTTGACCCCGCTGCGCCCCACAGCCCTGGCGGGCCTCTGCCCAGGACAGCTCCGAGCACGGCGCCGAGGTTTTGCAGAAGGAAGCTGGAGCCGGCTCGCCCCTGCTTCGCTTGCCGGGAAGAAGCGGCCTGCTGCGGCCTGGCCTGGGATTCCCCTTTCCGTGGCAGACCCTGCCCTTGCCAGGGCCTGTTTTGGGAACCCTGCGGCTCTGCCTGCAGGGCCACAGGGCTCCAGGCCCGACGGGGCAGAGCCCGCTGGAACCAGTGGGGACTTCAGGCACCCGCGACGGGTCTCAGTCCTAGCCAGCCGGGCACCCCGAGCGCCAACCCCGCATGGGGTTGCACGGTGCACCCCCGCTGCAGGCAGGAGGGACCTGGAGGTGGCACGGGGTAGCCCTGGGCTCAGCGGTGCCAGCTCTCGTCATGGCCCCCGGGCGGCTTCCAGCGGGGGCAACTAGGATGCAGCGGGTGGGATGAGGCAGCGGGTTTCCGGGCGCTGGGCTGGCTGGCGGGGAAACCAAGTGTGGGGAAGCTCACGAGCACGGAGAGCGGCCCCACGGCTGTTTCCCTAGCCAGACACAGGGCTGGAAACAGGTCTCTGCACCCCACACGTAACTGCACACTTCCCTGCAGCCCTGACGCCCCCGGGCTGCTCCCCCAGGGCCGGGGCTTCGCACGACGCCCCCACGGCTGCGCCCGGACCAGAGCCCAGTCCGCGCCCACGCTGGACGCGCCAGGGGCCGAGCGGGTCGGAGCCACCAGCACGGAGCCGAGGGCTGGCACGGGCCCAGGCACCACCGGGATGGGCCCGGCGCTGCGGCAAGGCCCAGGCCCTCCCCGACCCCCAGCAACGCGGGTTTGCGGGGACCTTGCCCCCACAGTCGCCACGACAGGCCCCTGCTGTGGCCCGAGCCCGAGGCCGAGGCCCGCTGAGCGCCGCCA